GCCCGTGCTCTACCTGCAGTCGCACTGCGACGTGCCCGCCGACCGCGACCGCTACGTGCGCCAGCTCATGCGGCACATCCCGGTGAGCCCCGCGCGTGCCCGAGGGGGGCCCCGCCCCGCCCCCGCGCGTGCCCGAGGGGGGCAGAAAGGCTTGGGGTGCCCGGGCTGGGAAGCGCGCGGTGCAGCAGAGTGTTTCGCGCCTTAACATCTGTACACACGGGTCAGGGCCTCCCTCGGGGTGCAGCGCCGGGGACAGCCGCCCCCATGCACCCCTTCCCCAAGTGGCTGCGGGGCCTGACAGCAGGGATTGGGACTGCACAGTGGGGGGGTGCGAAGTGCTCTGCCTCCAGCCCTGTCACTCTGCTTCCCACTAGGAATATGAAAGTTAACTGGTAGGAATCCCCCTAAACACGGAATGCTTGCCGGTCTCAGTTAACAGGTGTGGGCTGGAGCAGCTCTGCACACTGGGTGCTCCAGTCCCACAGGGCTCACCACGGTTACGGGCTGCTCCAGTTTTGTCAGGGAGCCGGCAGAAGCCCAAACCAGGCACAGGGCTGGGTGCCGGCAGCCAGCACAAGTGCAGGTCTGAGGACCGTAGCCTGCATGCTAGGGGTGCTCTTGCTGAGCACGAGCAATCCCCAGCTCAGATCCCAAGTTAGTCGATTAACCAGTTAAACATTATGTCGAGTTAAACATTGTCGACCTAAGGTTTAAGCGGTTAACTGATTAACCGGGATTTTGCACCCCTACTTTCCACCATTGGTAAGAGCAGGGTGCATTTCTATCCTTTATCCCAAGAGATGTGAGAAATTATTTTTGTAAAGATGATTATTACTATTTTAGGTAGACTCCTATGGTAAATGCCTGAATAACCGAGAGCTTCCCAGTGAGAGGCTGAGGGACACCTCTACAGCCACCACAGAGGATTCTGAATTCATGAACTTTATCTCCAGGTACAAGTTTCACCTTGCCATGGAGAATGCCATCTGCAATGACTACATGACCGAGAAGCTGTGGCGTCCAATGCATTTGGGCGCCATCCCTGTATACCGAGGTTCCCCCTCGGTGCGGGACTGGATGCCTGATAACCACTCCATCATTCTTGTGGATGATTTTGGAAGCCCCCAAGAGCTAGCAGAGTTCCTTAATTTCCTGGACCAGAATGAAGAGGAGTATCTGAAATACCTAGAGTATAAGAAGCCGGGAGGCATTACAAACAAGTTTCTGCTGGAGACTATGGAGAGGCGTGAGTGGGGAGTGAATGACATGACTTTGCCTAATTACCTGAATGCCTTCGAGTGTTTCGTCTGTGACAGAGAGAACATAAGAATTGATGCTGAGAGAGCTCATAAGAAATCTCGTGGGAAAGTACCTGCTCCTGAACCCCACATAGCTCAGGTCACACACATGGGATGCCCCATGCCAGTGCCTGGCTTTGGAAACATTGAGGACATCCCTGAAGGAGACAGGTATTGTATGAATGTTGCTTTTGCAAAATCATGTTTTAAAAGGCCTAGTTAATGCAGGTTTGCATAATGCTTTTGATGCTGAAGGATTCCTAAATGCGTCTCAAACTACATATCACTTAGAAAAGTTAGATGTCTGCAAGTCACCAGGGCTGATGAAATGCTCCTAGAATAACCAAGGAGCTGATAGAGGAGTTATGTGAGCCTTTAGCTGTCGTCTTTGAAAAATTATGGAAGACAGCAGAGATTCTAGAAGACTGGAAAAGGGCAAATCTAGTGCCCATCTCTAAAAAGGGAAATAAGAACAACCCAGGCAACATAGACCAGTCAGTTTAACTTCTGTGCTAGGAAAGATAATGGAGCAAGTAATTAAGGAATTCATCTGCAAACATCTGGAAGATAATAAGGTGATAGGGAACAGCCAGCATGGATTTGTAAAGAACAAATCCTGTCAAACCAATCTGATAGCTTTCTTTGATAGGATAACGGGCCTTGTGGATAAGGGAGAAGTGGTGGATGTGGTATACCCAGACTTTAGTAAGGCATTTGATACGGTCTCAGGATCTTCTTATAAATAAGCTGGGCAAACACATCTTAGATGGGACTGCTGTAAGGTGGGTGCATAATTGTCTGGATAACCATTCACAGTAGTTATTAACGGTTCACATTTGATAAGAAGCAATGGGCCTAAACTGCAGCAAGAGAAGTTTAGGTTGGACATTAGGAAAAACTTCCTACCTGTCAGGGTGGTTAAACGCTGAAATAAATTGCCTAGGGAGGTTGTGGAATCTCCATTTCTGGAGATATTTAAGAGCAGGTTAGATGACCAACCCTGAAAAATGTCTTAGATGGTTCTAGGTCCTGATGTGAGGGCAGGGAAGTGGACTTGATGACCTCGAGGTCCCTTCGAGTTCTAGTGTTCTATGATTCTATGTACAGTATTTCTGAAATGTGTGACACCCTTTACATGGAAGCAACAGCCATAAAGTCTCAGTTGTAAGCTTCCTTCAACTTTACCAGAAGTGTAACCTCCAATCTGTTCTTAAGCAATCACTTCTAGTAATGAGGAACATTTCCAATTCATAGTCCATTTAGTCCTTTGTATTTCTGCTAATTTGGCTAGTAAGATGTCAGAAATTTTTCATGATGTTTTTTGTGTTGTAGACACCTACCCCTTAGGTCTGAGTGGACCATCAGATAGTAAAACCTTCCAGCCACTAAAGACATTGGCTGTACTTGGCCCATGACCTTATACTGAAAATTTCTGTTGCCAGTTCCACTGTATAAACTATTAACAAAGCAGAATGATTCAAATAGCAAAAGACTTACTTTCTAAAAAGGACACACTGCTGCTTTACCTTAATTGATTTTAGTTAATAGATCTCCTAATAACTTAATGTATATGGAATTTGGTATTTTGGAGTGTTTTTTATATATATATATAGATTAGATAGATAGATAGCTGCCCTGGCAGGATCAGATAACTTCCGAGCATACATAACAGCAAGAATACTCTGAAACCATTTAAAGAGCTAATACCCTATTACTTTACTCTCTGATGTGAGGGGGAGGGATAGCTCAATAGTTTGAGCATTGGCCTCCTAAACTCAGGGTTGTGAGTTCAATCCTTGAGGGGGCCAATCTGTCAGGGATGGCACTTGGTCCTGCCATGAGGGTGTGGGACTAGGCTTGATGACTTCTCAAGGTCCTTTGCAGGTCTATGAGATAGGTATATGGGTAAGGCTTGTACGTACAGCCATACTTGGTATAATTTTATCTTTTTAATCATAAGTACATTGAATTTAATGCTGTTGAAAGATGCTGGCTTGGCTCTGTTGCCTGAAGACCTTTCATAGAATAGAAATTGTTGAACCCCCAATTCGCAATGTAGACACAGCCTTAGTGGACTCCCAGAATGTGAGTCCAGTAGGTCTGCATCTACATTGCAAAGCAATAGGATTGAACTGAAATAAGGGTGGAAAGGGGGCATTCAGTCTGCTTTGAAAAGTGCTATTGACAATGTTTCTTCATATCTTTTTGCAGTATTAAACTTAACTAGTTACAAATACCTTGGCTGCCCATAACAACAATTCAATAAAATGTATGATAAATTAAGCTCTTAAAATAGTGTTACATATTAAAATGTGTTTGTAATATATCAAGAGGGTGGAGGCACATTCAGAGACTTGCTTAGTGAAAGGGGTCACTATTAGAAAAATCTTAAGAATCACTAATAGAGAGAGAGAGAGAGAGAGAGAGAGAGAGTGTGCCTGCAGTAGCTCAGTACTTCTAATCTTTAATAAACTTCCTTTCATCTTCATAGTCCCCTCTTAAGTGAGAGAGGAATTCAGTCCTAGTGTTCAGCTTCAGTCTCCCCCTCTTAATAATGGCTTGTTATGCTTTCCCTCTTCTGTATTTCAGCTGGAAGGAGATGTGGCTTCAGGATTATTGGCAGAGTCTTGACCAGGGTGAGGCTCTCACTGCCATGATTCACCACAATGAGACTCATCAGGGAAGATTTTGGGATTATATGCATGAGATCTTCCTGAAGAGGACCAGACAGCATGGATCATAGTCATGGGCACTTGGTTCAGTGTTGCCCAGAAGGCTGGGAGGGAAGGGACTTTTACCTGTCTCCGAAGACTCAGTCTCAAAACGCAAGAGGAATTGCTCAGCTTTGGAGGCCTTCCTTTCATGGAATCTGAGGACAGTCAGTCTCTGATCAGGCTTGCATTCACCCTACATATACACCACCTCAGCAATGGATTTCCATCCCTGTCCTGGAGGCACCATCTTCTGGGGTCAGAGAAGAATTCAGTCTTTTTGTGCTTTCAGTGTTATTTCCTTCTGACCAAAAAGGTATTACAGTTAGTGCCAGATGACTTGGATCAGAGATCTGATCAAGCTGAACTGAAGTATCCTAAGCTGTTTCAGGGAATTTAATTGCACGTATTCAGTATTATTCAGGCATTTCTCCAGGCACTTATCCCTCCTATTAAGATGGTGTTTTTTAAAATCAGGGATACTGGTAAATGCCTGTTTTTTTATAAATATGTAATTTTTCCAGTGAAGAAATTATATTAATTTCTGGGGAGAGAGGTTATGCCTTATGAAACTTCAGCGATAAGCATTCCCTCCTCTAGTGAATATGCCTCCAACATAGTATATTTCATAGTACATGTTTCCCTTCCCCACTCCTCTATCAGACAATGGTCTCTTTTGTTAAATGATGACAGTCTTAGTGGTCTTGGCAAAAACCACTTCAAATTTGATATTTCTTACTCCTGTAAATCTCATAATTAGGATATGGAAAGAAATGTGCAATTTCTACTCCCACCCATGAACAAATGACAACTGGTATTTGAATATCCCTTTAACCTATTTGTAGACATCTAGCATATCTCCCCTCAGTCTTTTCTCTAGTCAACCTATCCAGCTTCCTAAGCATCCTCTTAAAGATCTCATTTTCAAAAATCATGAAGTCTTCATGTCACTTTCTTCTAAACCCTCTCTTGTTTGTGTTTTTTAAACTACAATATTCAGAATTAAACCATACCCATGGGGCTGTTGACAGTGGAATGATTTACATTTATTACTGTTATTAATACAACCTCTTTTACAATAATATTGTATTGTTGGCTTGTTTCATTTAACATCCATTATGGTGACCAAGTGCTGTTTTGTGCCTATAGGCAGTATACCTTTGCTGTCTGGTTTTTACAGTTGATTAATCCTTCATAGATGTGCTTCTTTGCAGTTATCTTTCTCTTTTTTAATTAATTTTATATACTATTTTTCAATTGATCAATAGAGAATTTTAATCCATTTCTCCAAAATAATCTGTCTTCAATGGACTGCTACATGGAACCATATAAGATGCCTTACTAAAATGGAAATATGTTCCATCTTCTGCTTTTTATTTAGCAGCTAAACTTGGTATTCAATCACACACACAAATTTAGCATGATTTGTTTAATGAACTTGTATTCTTTACATTTTCATCTTTTTTTTCCTTGGGTGCCTACAAATCATCTACTTCCCTAAGTCTTCCAACAATTTAGCAAGACCATGCATGTACTCCATAAGGTCTCAGAACTAATAGCCATTTCTGATATGACTTCTGCAAGGGATTAGGCTTGAAAGTTTCCCTGGGCCCTGCCTATTGACTGCATTAGATAATGCTGCCCTGTGGCCTTTTTCTTTCCGGTTAACCATCACTGCATTAAATCTGTTGGGTTTTTTTAACTGAAGACTGAAACATTTCTTTTGGTCCTCTCCTGTTTTATGCGAGGGATCTTACTGTATGCTTTAGCTGTCCGTGTGCTGCTTTATCCTGCGTGCTTTTCTGTCCTTTAGTAATAGCACCTTTGTCTTTTTTGACTGTTAGAGTCTTTGACTCTAACTTACCCCTGCATCTGCCATTCTGTCCCTGATCTTATCTCCTGTGATTTCTTACTCAAACTCACATATAATTGTTTCCAGGGAGAAAATCCAGTTCTGTCTTATGTTATAATGGAAGCCCCACTTATAGCAGACCTAGTGTGATTCTGCTGCATAGGCTAGGGGGTCAGCTGTATTCATTGCATCTACAACCAATGTACTGCATGAGGCCCATTCTCTGAGACTCCCTTTGCATCCCTACGCAGCGAGGTTTTGGGGTATGGAGAGGCGCAAGACAGTGGCGGTCCCATTAACCAGTGTACGGCGGGCCCACTAACCAGCCATTGCTCCATGATTAGGAGTGTGAAAGCAGCACCAGAATCATCAAGTGCCTGTTTCACTTGATGATTCCCTGTTCTGTTCATCCCCTCTGCGGCACCTGGCATGGGCCACTGTGGGCAGACAGGATACTGGACTAGATGGCTACGTCTACACTGGCATGATTTTCCAAAAATGCTTTTAACAGAAAAGTTTTCCGTTAAAAGCATTTTCGGAAAAGCGTGTCTAGATTGGCAGGACGCTTTTCCGGAAAAGCACTTTTTGCAGAAAAGCGTCCGTGGCCAATCTAGACGCGCTTTTCCGCAAAAAAGCCCCGATCGCCATTTTCACGATCGGAGCTTTTTTGCGAAAAACACTACCGTGCTGTCTACACTGGCCCTTTCGGGCAAAAGTCTTTCGGAAAAATACTTTTGCCCGAATGGGAGCAGCATAGTTTTTCCGGAAAAGCACTGATGATTTTACATGAGATCGTCAGTGCTTTTCTGGAAATTCAAGCGGCCAGTGTAGACACAGCCGATGAGTCTTTGGTCTGACCCAGTGTGGCCATTCTTATGTTCAGTTAAATTAAAGTGTCAGTTCCAAACACTCTATACGTACCGTCTGGCACAAGATTGAACAGCAACAAACATTAAAAATGTAGAACCCATATTTAGATGAAATACATATCTCAGGCTGTCTGGCATGGCTCACTGCCACAAGTGCCAACGTCAGGACAGACTGTTAAGAAACAGGGCAAACCCCCAAACTGATTGTATGTTCCATAATTAGATTTGATCAGCTCTGAAGCAAGTAGGGACTCGTTAAACATTGTAACAGTCTTAACATGGAGTCACAGACCATCCCTTCGGGCAGTCAAGTCTATCTGGTCACCCAGGCAAGTTTGATCATGTGATAGATTGTCACTTGCACCAAAAATCCCAATAATATTCAGGTTACTCAGAGTCCCAAAGCAGCAGTTAGTTGTACCCTAGGTCAATTTGTGTATCTGATTTCAAATCAAAGTATAACCAATCCTGCAATAAACTAAAATTTAACTGAGAAGAAATAAGTTATTTACAAGTTTAAAGCAGGTAAAACTCTCTCCTTGTCAGGGATTTGTATTCCTTTCACCACAGAACCAAGATTATGGGACATGTTTATCTGCCAATCTCCCTTTTGTGAAGGGAGAGGAAATGGGGATAAGGGATGCAGTCAACAAGGTCCCTTTGCTGCTTCAGAATGGGTCATTTGCTTTCAATGGGCCTTCTTCTGTGCAAACACTTTACTTTGCTTATAGCTACACTTACCTGAAATTCATGTTGCTGTGGTCAATGCAGTGGGTATTGGTTAGCAGAGCTAGTGAAGACTCACTAAATCAACTGCAAGCCACTCTCTGAGCACTGGTACTACACCAAAGCATCATGAGTAAGGTAAGTCTCCAGGAGAGCATCTCTGGTTAGCACAGTGCAGTGAAGACACCGCAATAAATCAGTCTCACGCATATCAACTCCAGCTATGTTGTTTGCATTGCTGGAGTAGCATAATTTAGGTCAGCTTACCACGGTAGTGTAGACAGGGCCTTAAATTCATGGTACTTTGCTATTTGGTAAGTTATACAGTTAGCGATTTTCAATGCAAACATTTGCTGTTGCACTGTAATGTGGGTTACATAAGTGAGACTCATACAAGCCACGTCCTACAAACTATTCATAAGGTCCAAACACATCAATTTTGCTGCTCCGGCCCCTGTGGTTAACCTGCAGGGGTAAGCATCACCTGCTTAGGGTGATGTTTGCTGCTTAACCTTTCATATCTCTAATAAACAGACCTGAGCAGAAAATGGGTGTTTGAGTTTTGAGTAGCATTGGACACACCACTTAACCTCGTTGCCTCATTTTCCCTAAATGGGAGTAATCTACTTTACAGCTGATCTGCAAGACTCTATTCTTTTATTGGTAAAGAATTTGGATGGAAGGTGCAATAACAATGTTTATTGCCCAGAAAAATGGGGTGCTAATCCCCATATTGGGGTTTCTAGACACTAATACAGTACAAATAATAAATGAGTAGTCCTGTGGCACCTTAGAAACTAAAATATATAGTATGAACTTTCATGGGCAAAACCCACATCAAATTTGTCAGGTCCTGAATCCCCTCTATAACCTTGATTCCTTCTGTTCTTTCAAGCACTTTTATATTCTTTTCCAGTGCCTGCAGCTTTCTGCATGGCCAAATGCATTTAAAGCGTGGTGCCTTATCTAGCACTTTCCATGTCCACTGCCACATTTCCGCACTTGACACTTGAGTACAAAAGTTTGGCCTTCCTTGCCCTGAGCTGAATGCATGGGAGACTTCTCAGGTAGCCTAACTTAGAATGTTCATTCATGGTGCTCTTCCGGAGTAGCACAGGGGGCTGGGGCAGAGCAGGCATGGTTAGTTGCTCTGGGTAAGTGGTGACAAGGTTGTTGTTCCTTGCGCAGTTTGTATCCCACCTGAGCAAATAATTAGGCTTGGAAGGATTTTATTTTTATTGGCAAATTTCAGTAAACATCAATTTTCCCCATACCCCCACCAATTAAAGAAAAAATATTGCCATTGGAAATAACTGATATTTACAGCTAAAGTGAAAAAAATGCTGCTGGATAGCTTATTACAATTTGATTTAAGGTTATTTACATTGTACATTTTTGATAAGTGAGGCTTCTGTTTTAATGGCTATAAAACTATTGGAATCTTTGTTGTAATTAAGTATTTCTTCTCTGACCTCATGCTTTACACATCCACTAACTACATTTTATGAGACATTTCATATCCTCATAATAAAGGAAGCCAGTGCTGTAACTGGCCATGAAGAAGACTGGGTTCTGTCCCTAATTCTGCCATTAAATAATTGATTTACAGTGACACAAGTCACTTCTCAGTTTCTCCATCCTGGTATATTAAGGTGCCCATCTCTCGACTCATGTGAAAGGCACCATGTACATGCAGGCTACGTCTACACTGGCATGATTTTGTGCAACTACTTTTAACGCACGAGTTTTTGCATTAAAAGTATTTGCGCAAGAGAGCGTCTACACTAGCATATGCCTTTGCACAAGAGATGTGCTTTTGTGCAAAAGCACCCGTGCCAGTGTAGATGCTCTCTTGCGCAAGAAAGCTCCGATGGCCATTTTAGCCATCGGGCTTTCTTGCACAAGAAATTCATGTTGCCTGTCTACACTGGCCTCTTGCACAAGAGGGCTTATTCCTGAGCAGGAGCATCATAGTTCTTGCGCAGGAAGCACTGATTTCTTACATTCGAATGTCATTGTTCTTGCGCAAGAACTCCCTGCCAGTGTAGACAGTTGGCAAGTTTTTGCGCAAAAGCCGCAAAGTATTGTAACAACACAATATAAACTTCAGACCTACAAACATCTGAGGGAAATTGATTCATGTCCCAGGGGAAGTTTGGTATTTTATGTGTTTAGTTGATCTGTTTTGCCAACCTTCACAGAGGTCAGTGATTCTAGGAAGGACAAAACTGGTCTGGAAAATACGATTGGCTGACACATTGACTTAATTTTGATAGTGGTATTTCTAGGACTGAATGAAACATTCTGAGAACCACCAAGTACTGCTGGTATATGAGGTGTTCTGTGTGATTGATCTAGCTCGCACAAAGTGATCTGCCAAGTGAAACAGCTGGAGACTCACTGTCCAGATGCACTTCCCTAACAGAGCAGTTTTAACTAATGTTTCCTAATACAGTTTATTGGGTGAATGAACAGTTGCCAAAGCACTAGACTTGGGTAAATTGAATTGGAATCCATTCAGCAAGGATTTCACCCAATCAGCTACCCCATATTAGACAACAAACCCCTGGCTCTTCCTACCCGGAATGATTTACCTGTCTTCTCATTCCTAAAAGCTGCTTTGACTGGGATGATTGATAGCTCCTGAGGGGCCCTTAGAAAATGTATTCATCAGACGTGTACAAGGAGCTATTTTGCTCCAAGACCTCCACTGACCAGATGGAATTAATCAGACACAAAACCCTTTTAGTAATATGACCAGCTGAACCAAAGGCATTTGTCATGCCTTAACTGCATTCCTCTGTCTCAGATGCTGTGTCAGAGCTGGTACTTCAAGATAGGTGGGCACTGCAGGCTTGGAGGAGGTGAGAAGAGAAGGGCTGTGGAATTCTTTTCCAAAGCCCTGATGTGACTGGGACCCTAAT